TTATGTGTGTTGATTATCTTTGATCTAAGGAAAATTCTCCTAGAATGGGGATGTGTACAATTAAAATCGATAAATTTATTATAATTAGCATATAAGAATGAAAATTACTTAAACAATCGATTTGTCTAGCGGATAAGTTTTAGTTAGCTTAAAATAGAACTTTTAAGATAGGGGATCAAGTAAATTGATTGTGTAGGTTATTAATTCAGAAGAAAATATCGAAGAACGGACAAATTGTTTGTAATCTAACACTGTTACTTTATAATCATTGTGACAGTATAGAATTAGTACGTTACACAATTACACAATAAGTATCACATTATATATATATATATATAAGAATTTTCACCATAAAGAAGTTTTTGAAAAGTACTTTAGTTTGAGAAGTGTAATTAACATGCAACCACCACTGTACACGGAATCAAATTTAGAATGTTTGTGATTGTATTGTGAGGACATTACTATGAAGTCGTTTTGTGATTTACTTCTCCTCCCTTATCTCTGACAAGTGTCCGGTTCCACTTTTCAAGTCACAACTTCTTACTGAAACTTTAGAAAATTCTTCTCTACAAGGGACATGATTATTATTTAGTCGGAAGGTTGTGTAGATATATCCATCAACTTGACTATTATTTTACATCATAGACTGATTTTCATGTAGATATATGCCGACGTGAAGCAAAAGAACATGGCTGTAATGAGTTGATCACTGTCCACCAAATGTAAACTGTTCATTTTCTTATCACTTTGTTGATTGACTTTAAAAAAGACCTATGTTCACTACTGCAGAATAGATCCTTGGGAACTTACAATCTAAGTGAACACTTTAAACATCGGAATGGATCTAATACTTATAAATTTAATGAGCTAAGAAAAAAATTTACCGTGGTGAATGATATTTAGTAACCTTTTACTGATATTTATTTCCTTTGTTTCAAATATTGAATTAATCTGAACGAAATTAGATTTTTCATTTAAAATTTTCCTGCTAATATAAGAAAGAAATTATTTAGTGGCAATATGATATGGTATATTTCGTATATTAAGTAGTTATTTAACAAGTTTACTGTATTAGACCTAATGAACAAACTTTGTATCAAAATGCAATAAGACTCTGTTGACTAGCACTTTTTACGCCAAAAAATCAAATTATTTTTAATAACTAATATTGATTACATTTAAAAAAAGATGTTCTATTTTCTGAATGAAATCAAGAAAAAACTTGGGGAGACTTTTGCGTGAACATTTCACTGTTCGTTCTATAAATTCAGTGATTATTCCTTTATAAAATTTGTTCATTTGATTTGCTGACAGTTTTAAATAATTGGATAGTTTCGAGTTTTAATTGCATAAGATATTACTTCGTGCTACTAAGGAGTTGGTTCCTAATAGGAACACAGTAATTGTCAAATATCTTTTAGTTTTCAACAGGCCTCTAGATAATGGTCATTCATGAGGGCGAACGCCTTGTATACATATGTGAAAGTTTGAAAATAATGATCTGATTGGCTTACTACTACATCATCTTTGCTCTATTGTAAATTAGCTTTGATGAATATAAATCGTACTGTTATTATCAATTTCCTTATTTACATTTCTCAATGGAAATTACCTTGTTTCACTTTTGTGAAATTATACATAAATGTAAAGTCGATTAAAAAATTTGTTTAAAAGTGAACATTTCTTGGGTATAAATTTGGATGATTTCGATTTGTGTTTTGTTTTTTTAATAATGAACGATATTGAACAATGAATAATGAAGTGGAACTATATGTTTATAAAACTGTCGGGAATGTTAGATCCATAGAACTCGCTTGATTAATGCCTTAGTTTAGACTTCACGCTTGCGAGCATGGGATGACCATTTCACCTTGAGATTTCATTTCCCACCACGAAAATCCATGTCTATTATTGGCTGCTGTGTATTTTAGTGTGCTATTTTCGTAACTGTCTCAAGGACGTTTCTATGACGTATAAATAAACGAGAGTTGTGTGCTTGATTGTGTTGTGATTGCTGGGTGTTGTAGAATATACTTTGTACGCTTAACGAGTCTTCTGTTTTGAAGTTTGGGACTCAAGGTAACCACCTCGACGCTGGTTCATTGTCTTGTTCTCGTTTATCGACTAAGGTGAACTCATAATAGCTTTAAGCGTACCAAGTGACGAACATAACAAAAACTAACGTTGTCATATAAGAGATAATGAATTTCTAAAAGTGTTTGTACCTGAATACTTACATAACACAGCCATCGATTAGCTCCTTGTTTATATATATATATATATATATATATATATATATACATAGTCTAATGCTACTTAGATACGCACGTAAATGTACATATTTAATACAGAGACATTCAGTTTGTAATGATTTGCATCTTAATATACATAATAAATTGTTTTTGACTTACTTACTTACTTATAGATTTATAGCATATTATCTACAAAACATAAACGAATATAACTTTTCTGCTTAGAACACGCAATCTGTTTTTAAATATTAATGGTTAGTTTAAATCCAGCAATAGTATTAAACCAGTTCTTGTCACTAGTTTTCTATTTCTTCATAATAATAATAATAATGTTTCTTCCCTTTTAATAACTGAAATTAAACACCTACCAGCTACTCATAGATGAGTATTCTATTCAAAATGAATGGTATTTCTGTTGTCCGACTAAAGTAACAATCAACAACATGAACTAAGTGTACACGCTCACCAAACATATATATAAACAGTATATTAAGGCGAAAAAGCACATTAATACTATAATGTAGTTGACCAAGCAAGCCAATATGTTTCTTATTTTATCAATGATAAGTACATACATATAAAATGTCTGTTCTGCTTTGTGGCTATGCGTGTCTAACTACTCTCTTCAAGAGGCAAATGAATTTGCACTGAAATTTAATCGTTTATCTTTTACAATTCTAGTTAAATAAGTGTGTCTAGTAGGAAGAGATAAATAGAAGACAGAATGATGATTTTATTAATGTTATTATTATTATTATTTCATGCATAAGTTAAAGTTTAAACAAATAGAAAACTTTATGCATTCTACAAAAGCATTTATCATTTCAGAATATACCAAAGTTCATCATTATCATAATCATCATCTTCAATAATATTTCAAAACGTAGATATAATGATGCCCTCCTTTTATCATTGAAGACAAATTTAAAAAAGCGAATTCAATCTAATTAAAGGTTAAACATAATACGTGACATTAATACTACTACCAATACTACTGCTACTGTTACTGTTAACATTAATTCTAATAATCAACTTTTTTTTTCCTGTACCATCTTGTTTGTTGTACGGGATTTCTTAACAAAGCTTTCTTAAACACCATATGTCATGCTAATTTATGTTTATTTCAGGGTTATTTCACTGAATTATTAAAGTTCTCATTCTAATTATCAATAAATGTTATCGAGTATTATTAATTTATTTTTTCTTGTGTTTTTCAACTCGTTTTAATAATAAAGTGTAATTAATCAAAATAAACAAATTAGATCATCAGATATATTTTTTCAATCATATGAACTAGCTTTCCACTCTTGTATATCATAATGACAATTGATAAAAATTATTTTGTTCATTTTTGACCTATGCAAAAAGAAAAAAAAATAGTTGTATTCCAACTTTCAATTTTTTCAACAATCAATGTTCAATATCTAGAAGATAAAAAATTGTAAAAAAAAATATTAGGGAAAAAATTAAAGTGGAATATAATGAATGATGACATTTTTAAGAAAATAGATACTTTATGAATATTTTAGATTTTATAAAATGTGTACATTATAAATAAATAGAAAGTTCACTATGGAGTAATAAAGATTGTTATTTTTCGTTGAAATCATGAATCGACCATTGTTTCGTCCTAGCATGGGACTCATCCACAACCCCTGTTCTCAAGGATCTTAAAGTGTGCTCCTTATTGACTAGCATTGTGAGGGAATTCTCGGAGTTCTAAGGAGAAGCCACGACCAGGGGAGTTCAACACTGTCGGGTACAGGCGGTTAGTTACCTACCAAAGACATTAGGTCAGGTTGCACAATATCAGACATTGGTTACAGCTAGACATTAACACCGTTGAATGTTGGGTCAGCTTTCCAGAGGTTTAGCATTCGCGTGCGAGACCAAATGTCCAGGGTTCGATTCCCATGAGCAAGAGTCGCGAATGCTCAGTGCTAATAAGTCTAACAGTGATCCATTCATGATTTCAATGAAAATTAGGAAGTTGAAATGAATAACCAATTTAGAGGATGGAATTCAGGTCAAAATTCTAGTCATCATAATAGTCGAAAATTTCAAAAATCCTATCATAATTACACTAATTTTCATTACTTTTATACTGAATAACAATAAAATGACTTTAAAACTTGATTTCATCGCAAGAATCATAGATATGAATGGCATTGTTACGCCAGCAGTCACATGATTTTAACTTTCATAAATGAAACAACCATAGGTTTTTGGTAACAGTTTAATCCTGATACTGAGCATAGGCTATATTTTATCACAAATAAAATGAAGTTAGATTTGATGAACTCTTATTCAACAGATGGATGTAATCATGCTATATACGTAACGCGTTTGAAGATCAGAGGTCTTACTCCGCGTTATTCATTTCAAATAAGACCTTGATTAGAACTAAATTATTTATATATTTGCTTCATAGAATGCAGAGTTTTATGCTGAAAAAAAAAGATATATATTTCATTTGTTTTGATAAACAGAATGAGAATTCTTCATGACTTTGGAATCAATGATATTGGTCAATGGAAAATTGAACGTTTTGCCACATTATTTCAAGAGTAAAAACACACAAACTTGCACAAGCTCATTTAACATTCGTGTAAAGATAAACACCTACAGACAATATTTATTTCAAGATACTTTCAGCGTTAGTATTTTGTTATTTCTTATCACAAACTTTTTATTCAACTATTAATGAAAATGCATTATTATCAACTTGTTTTCTGTTTCATTCTGTAGATAATTTTATCAAGAATTCATTAAGTCATAATGTTTTGCTCACATCCGATAGCAGAAAACCAAAACGAATACGTACAGCTTTTTCACCAGCTCAACTATTTCAGTTAGAAAGTGCATTTGAAAAAAATCACTATGTTATTGGACAAGAACGTAAAGATTTAGCGACTGATTTAAATTTAACTGAAACTCAAGTAAGTGAACGTTTGTTTTTCTTGTTTAATAAAAAATAATATCTTTTATAACTTGTGAAGTATTTGAATAAATTGCTTAATTCTATGACTGTATTGAACTGCATGTGAAAGAGGACGAGGATAGACATTTCGTAAAAAGTAATTACCACCACTAAAGATTTCTTGAATATGTGACCTTTCGAGTTGAGATCGAGTTATTTTGTAAAATGATAAAGTTCGACTTAAAATCACCTGGTGTGGCTAATTACGACTGTTTTTACAAATAGAAAAGCAGTAAACGAATTGATTTTTTTAGGGATTTCTGTGACTTATTTGAGTGTATTTTCTACTGAAATTTAGTGTTAGCTGGAGAACCAATAAAATCTAGACCGGAATAGATTACTACTTCTGAATAATTTGATATATATTAGCTAATGTGTTAAAGACTGAGTACGCAGTATTTAAATCTGGTGATGTGTGCAAAGCATTCAGATTGACAGGCCGAATACAGTGATCTAAATTTCTTACTTTAATCACTCACAGGTTCTTTTGAAGTTAGCAGAACATCTATTTTTTCTCTAAAGCAATGGGCATACATTTTCTCTAGTGTTCTTCTGACTCGTTACAGTTCTTAACATCCGATTATTTTGTTACTGGACGTAGAAAATGACTGTCTAATGATAAAAACTTTTTCAAAGATCTACTAAATGGTAGACGAGATGACTGAACTTAAAAATCAATAGCTTTTAATAACAAGTCTGTAGTAATATATGACATTACGAAATCTAATTAAGTAGGATTTTATAAGTTAGGTTGTCGAAAGTCTGATTTATCTTTCATGAGAATCACTATTAACGCAAAGTGAGTATTTGTGTTGCAATCGTATTTAGAATGAAAGAATTCGAGGTTCATATCTACAGTCTCAGACAGTAGATTAATTGATGTCAAATTGCTCACATTTCAATGGTAACTGAACTAATTATCTCTCGTATAAGCTGAATGACTGCGTGGTATTTAATTTCTGATAGTAAACAACGCAGAAATACTTACAAATTGTGTACAACCATATTAAGTCAACATTAAATTGTTTGACATTGAATTACTTGTAAAGCGAACGTTTTGTAACAGTGCCAAATACAGTTACTTGACGATGTCAATAATTAATGAAATGGATATGACTAGCTTCTTTTGAATTAGCCTGTCAACGGCATTTCCAAAGTCAAAATCTACTCCCATTTATTTACGAATTCGAGTAATATAATCAGATAGAAGCTCGGTTTGGTAATAATGTTTATGGTGCAAAGAATAAACTGATCGGTCGATTAGTAGTTGTGATTTGGACGAGTGTTAACAGAGTTACTCAATCGCAGCAATAAAATATTGTCCGATATTGACATAAAAGTTAATGACTTAAAATAACTTGATATGCTGTAGAAAATGACAAGCGAAACAATGCACCAACAATACAAGAACTAAATCAAAGTTCATTGAATATTTAATATTTTACTGTAAAATAGTGTTGAAGTCAAGAAAATGAAGAGATTTCTAGCCCGAATCCGTCTAGATACATTCAGATAAACTGATTCGTTCATTCACAAGTGTATCAGTGTTAAACAACTTACGGCATGACTAGTCGTTGGTTTATTATAATTCCTCTTTTGTTACACAAAGTGGCTAAACATGACGACTCAAACGACAATTAAACTATGAATTAATGAAAATATCATATTCAACTTACAATTGGTTGTCAGCAGTAACTTTATTTGATATTAAATCTAGTTAATCTAAACTAAATAAACATAAAATTCTTCTAAAAAACATAATTAGTCTGTTGAATAATGCATAGAATAAGGGAAAATTGTCTAACCCACCTATTTTTTTTTAACTAACCAAACTTCATTGTTAGAATACGCTTTGATAATAATAATAATAATAATAATAATAATAATAATATCGTAGACTATTAAAAATGGCAATATAATTGAGTTGAAATAAAGTCAGTTGTAGGATCCAAACTGAGGTTTGGATTGAGGAATAACTTTCTAGGTAGTTTAGATACGCGTCTTGCCCAGCTGAATTCAAAATAAGTGATTTGGGTAAATGATGGTTCTAATATTCGTCATAATTATAAATCTACATCATTACCCAAACAAATATTACCACTCAGTTATTCCACAAACAATTGTTCAATTAATGAAATCCACAGCGGATAAATGATATTATATCCCCCTTGGTTAGAACAGATTCGTTTGAAAGATAATATTTGGTTGCTTCATAATACAGAGTGTTTTCTGTTCTGAAAAAGTGCTTCAATTCACAATAAAAATGCACAATTCCAGTCAATGCAAGCAACACAATCAAAAGAAGAACAAATCAATATGGTTGACACCATGACTAAGTATAAGCTTAAGCAACATAAATCCAGTTCAGCAAGAAACAAGAAAAATCAGTAAAGGCAAAAGAAATAAAAACTATAATAAAATACAAATATTATCATCAAAAAATGGAATCAAACAGATTTACAAAATGTACAACCGAAGGAATGATCACTAAGAACAAATTACAAATGTATACATGAAGGGTTTTTCACAAACAAAACTGTCAACAGATGGATATTACACCAGTCAAGAAATTAGTTTTTAGGCCTAAGAGTAAAATATTTCGCCTGCTACCATAGCTCACCTCAAATGTAACTACTATTGGTGTGATATTTATGGTGTGGATTAAAATCAACCATACAACTAACTATTCTGCTGATTGATAAAAAATTTTTAAATTCTGATCATTAGTGAACTATGTTATGTTATGTTATGTTATTTATTGGAAAAATATTAAATCGAACGGAGTTTTTTTTCAGTTTAATCTGATTTCGGTCGAAGAATGTCAAGTTTATCCTTAGCCAAATATATATACATATATTAAATTAATATATACTTGAAATAAAATCATTAAAATAAGTAGTATATTATCCTTTCAATTACAAAAAACAGATGGGCTACTTAAAATCAAAATGTCAAGATATATGTTTGTGATAAAACTTATTCGGATATTTATATATATATATATATGCACTAGTGCGACTACTACTATTTCTATCCTACTCTACACTTCGAATAAATTTTCGTCTTATCATTTTTATTATTTATAAAACAAATGGGACACAATTTACTTTAATAAGAAAAGCAAAAAAAACCGTATCGTAGTAGTAGACAAGAGGGGATGATGATGCTTATGATGCTGATGATGATACTTTATAAGAAAGTAGATTCGATCCAACAATAATATCAATGTGAAATTATACTCACTCTTCATTCGATGATTGTCAACTTGATAGCGTAGGAGAGAAAGGCGAATGAATATAGTGAGAAATTGAAAAGGAGGAAACTTGTAACTTGTAATCTAGTCGCGTGACCGGTTCTTTTCCCAAAAAAAAAACAAATTTGTGCGTACATTAATAGATTAAAAATGTAAATAATCTTTATGCGTGAAGGTGGAGCTGGTTTTAGTCAATTACAAGCTTTCAACGAAGGATAAGTTGTGTATAACACATACATACATACATATACACATAGATATGCCAAAATATTTTTAAAATTACAATTTTCATTCACGGACTAACCAACCAACCAACTAACGAACTAACTAACTAACCAACTAACCAAATAAATGACCATTTCTAATTAATTAAACATCTTGATAATAAACTAATGCATAATAGAAATATTTTGTTTATATACACGCAAAATAATACTAAATTAAACTTGTTTCTTATGTACAATAGTAATAATAATAATGATAATAATAATAATAATAGTCAATGTGTACTTGATTATGTTATTTTCAATAACAATCTGAATGATATATATATGTGTATACATATAGGTTGGTAGGGATGATTAAAAATGTTGACAATTGGTAAGACTTGATGAAAAATATGATAGGTACACGACACGAAATATATAGAATATTTGCATATTTATATATATATAGCTAGAGAATTCCCTATAAACTGAGATACTAATTTCTTATGATTTATTAAAACAAATCAGTAAACAGATAGCTTTTATCCACACACGTACACACATACATACACACAACACAAAATAAAAGATTAACCAAGAAGTACAAGTTAACGATGAGTTTCATTTATATTGTGGTTAGTTTTTATTTTTATTTTTACAGTTCGTTTCATGTCAAAAATTCACTTGATATTAGAAAAAAAATAATAAAACAAAACATATAACAGATAAAAAAAATTTACGAGAAATAAAAGTTTTTAATAGTTATCTATTACTTTGAACAGATTTACGTTCAATGTACAATATAAATATTAAAGTGAACTAGTTTGTTTGATATTGTTTTAATTAAAACAAATAAAAGAATCTTTTACATATTATATATATATATATATATATTGAGAGATTAGATTGAAAATTGAATGGGGAATTTATTTAAAATCAGTATTGTCATTGAATTTTGAACAAAAATTTTCACGATTGTTTGATGCTACGTTCACGAAAGGCAATCAAAGGGAAAATAATAATTGTAAAGACCAGTTGAATGGTTGAAATTATATAACTTCAAATTTTTTATTCTACAGACCAATTCAAATGTTGATTATGTTTTCAAAACGAAACCAGCTAAACGATTATTAGCAGTTAGAGAGTATCAAATAATTGTTTAATCTTAGTTCAGGGTTTCTTACAAACACAGATCTTGTCAGGAATTGAACTAAAGACGATTTTGCTGACGAGCAGGTTATCATTGAGTCACTAAATCAAAATATAATTGTTTACTCTTTTAACCTTGATTTAATTTTGCTTATACGTGTGTTTTAATACTGAATTTATTTTGGAAAATTCCTGTTAAAGTTCTGTTAGTCTTCAAAAATAAACGTTTTCCTAAAAAAATAACTGATAATAGGAATTAGAAATGTCCTCAAAACATTTTAAAGGTAAATTCCTGACTTCCAGGTTATTTAGATATTTATTTTTACCATAGTCAGTTAGTGAAACACTTAATTTACTGTTACTGATTCTCATTTCCCAATCAAACAAACTAGTAGATAAATTAATCGATTAGACAAAAACTTTTGTGCAATATGTTTTTATTAAACTGAATGATCACATAAATTATTAGTTTTGTACTTCCTTAATATACAGTTTCCGTTTGATTCAATGTTCATCTGTAGTTAAAAGTAATTTCATCGAATTTAGTCAGATGGAAAAAAAAGTAGTTTTAGAGAATTTATATTTGAAAATTAATTTTTATTGCATACTATGATAATCGACTACTTGACGTTGCTAACAGATGAATATGAGTAAAGTAGGTAATAATAAAATAAAAAATAAAGACCACACCACTGTACTCTAAATTCACTGTAATTTTATTTAACATATTCCATATGATCCAGAGTTTTTAGGGGTTCGTGCGTAAGACCGAAGGTCCTGGGTTCGAATCTGATGAGTAGCAGGGGTCGTGGATGCGCAGTCACTGTTGAGTCCCATATTGGGAAGAAACAGCAGTCTAGTGCTTCCAGGTTCCCAATGCAGATCAATCAGTGATTAATTCGTGATTTCAGTGATATTCTGTAATCATCGAATTACTGCATAGTTTTACATCCTTATTTCTGAATAAGCCGTTATTTATAGTGTGCTGTGACAAGGACTCACATGACATTAATGGTTTAATTATATCTGAAATTTGTTCATATTTCATTTAATTTTGTCTACTAGTTTCAGCCTAATAATAAAATGATGTTCAATAACACTGATCATATATAGCGAAGGAATATACTGATGGCTATACTTCAACATATTACGCAATACCGAGGATGTAAATTTACTAGTTAGATTGTAAATCAGTTGAAAGAAAGCAGTAATCGACTTTGCTTGAAATAAATCGAGATGTTTTTTTATCAAGATGAACTAAATGTATTTGCTTACTTTGGGTTATTTGTCAAATAAATAACCCGGCAGCATCAATGTTACTAAATTTCAATTGAAAATCGAAACTGGGATTTGTTCCTCATGATATCGGGAAAGCTAAATATATGACCAAAGACAAGTTATGAAATAAGCTCATTTCTCATTATTGACATGATGGAGGCTGAAGCGTCGTAGAATCCATTTTCGGTTTCGATAGTTAATCATAATGAAAATATGAAGTATATTGTGATAAATTTTTTTTGATTGATATTTCAAAATATTTACTGAATAACAATAATTTTAATTGTTAACTATTTAAGTAAAATATTTAATAAATATTATTAATAAAATGTAATATAATTATTATGCTCTCTTCAAAAGGTAAAAGTATGGTTTCAAAATCGTCGAACAAAATACAAACGTTTACGTACAGATGGTAAAGATGTGTTAAGCGACTCCAATTCCAAAGATCAACGATCATTATCCGATGGCGAGGTGGATGAAGATAGTGATGACGATGACAACGATGAGGATGGCGATGATAACAACCACATAAATAATCATTCACATAACAGGGAATTTGACAAAGAACAGAAAGACGATCATTTTTCAATGGAATCCATTCACCAGAATCAAGCGAATTCAAAATTCAACAATGAACCGTTTCAAAAACAGTCAATTTCAGAATCGTCTAAAGGAATCCATGTCAATACCTCTTCAATATACAGTCCATATTTGATTACAGAAAATCAACAATTCCATACTTCAAAAGAATGTCAACCATTGCTTTATAATTCAAAGTCAAACCCTATTTTAGGAGGTCAAAATACTACTACTAATAATAATAGTAATAATAATAATAACGATAATTTAGCTGAAAAATCTAAATTTAAAACGGATTACACAAACTACACTTGGAATTCATTTAAACAATCACAAGAGCATGTAACAACAGATATTGAAATTGAACAACAACAACAACATCAACAACAGCAACAACAGGAACAACAACAAACGTCTATTTTACATTCCTCACAACATTTAATTCATTCACTTGTTGGGCATATTAATCAAAATTTACAAAATCATTTACAACATTCTTGTAGACAAACATTATAAACAAAAAAAAACAACTGAATTTTGCAATAAATTTACTGAGTTGTTTTAATTTATTTCCTGTCTTTAAACATCATTTTCAAAATTTTATTGTCTCCTTAATATGGATACTACTCATTCTTACATTGATAATGAGATGTGAGTATGTTAAATTGTAATGTGTGAAAATCATGGATCATGTAAAGTGAGTGTTATACACATGTGTTTCTTGAAAGAAACTTATCTGCTTTCGAATTGTATTTAATTCATCGACTACTAAATATTCATTTCGGACATTCTATGAGATAGATCAACACAAATCATATCATTTTGTAAAAAAAAATTAAAAATTTCCATTCATACAAATTTAATCATTGTGTCAGTCAGTGATGTTTTATTGATTTTCAACAAAATAAAATATAAAAATTGTGCTGTTATGTTTTACTAAAGATTAAGTATCCATTTTCAGTCAGTTAGTCAGTCAGTCATTTAGTCAGTTACAACGTAGAGCTTCGTACGTAAATGCATCAGTTCATGTTGCCATACCACATTTGCACATAGACGAAATTGTCAATTCAAAACCCATAGTGGTTGAGATAGTAGAAGAATTACTGCTAATGGAGAAGATCAGGATTTGAAGATAATATTCAAGAAGTATAATTCAGTGAGATAAATTCAGAAGGAGAAAGGTAAAGGTGCTGACGAATCAAAAAGATAGGAATTTGAAAGAACATAAAGAGTGAATGCACCTGAGCCATTGCAAAAGATTTCTAGCCATGTAGTTCAAGGTCCCTAACCATCGGTCACTTTCGCCTCGCGGACCCCAACCAGGTAGCCTACATCTGCCATCATGACTCAGTCCACTTGTCAGTGAATTCATGGATTTTTGCCATGTTTTGGTTTGGTCACCCCTAGCTTTCTTCCAGCCAAAACCTACACCACAAAACATCGCTCAACGAGGCAGTCAGTGGTCAGGCATTCGTAACACATGTCCCAACCACCTCAACTGATGAAGTTTCACCACTTCATCTATTGATCTGACATTCTTACCTAGTACTCGTTTCCTAATGGCGGCATTGCATACTCGGGTGTCCCATAATACACAAGCAGTGGTTCTTAAACATCTCTGATCGAATACTAGTAACCTGAGAATATCTTCTACTCTTACCAGCCATGTTTCGCATCCATAAGGAGAACAGAGAGAACTGCTGTACTGTACACTCGACCTTCGGTTAGCAAACGGATATCTTGCCGACGCCATAACTGAGATATATATACCATTTAAAATGAAGCGATTTTATTATTCATTCTTTGATGTTACAAATGTTTACTTTTAGGTAGTTTAGAACTAATATGAAACATCTATGAGTAAGATCCATTTTTGAAGGCTTTGTTTGTGAAAACTCCTCCATGTATACATTTGTAATTTGTCCGTATTGAGATTCCTTCAGTTGTACATTTTATTAATTTGTTCAATTTCATTTTGAGATGATAATATTTGTGGTTTACTATAGTTTCTATTTCTTTTGCCTATAATGAGTTCCTATGTTTCTTTCTGAACTGCATTACGTTGTTTAAGCTGATACTTAGTTATGGCGACAGCCATACTGATTTGTTCTTCGTTTGATTGTGTTGCCTGCATTGACTGGAATTGTGCATTTTGATTGTGATTTGAATCACTCTTCCAGAATAGGAAACACTGTGTTATAAAGCAACCAAATATTATCTTTTGAACGAATCTGATATATGCAGGAGAGATAGAATAACATTTATTTGTTGCTGTTGATTTGAATAATTGAACAATTGTTGGTGGAATAACTGAGTGGTAATATTTGTTTGGGTAATGATGTGGATGATGAATATTAGAACCGTCATTTACCCTATCGCCGTGTTTTGGTTTCAACTGGGCAAGACGGGTATCTAAACTACCACCTAGACAGTTATTCCTTAATCCAAACCTTGGTTTGAATCCTACATATATGTCCTTTCATACTCGTCACTTCAGGTTTCCTTTAATTAACTCATTTTTTATAGAATAGAACTGATTCAGCGCACCTGTGAGGAAAACAGTTTATTTTAAATAAGTGAAAAATTAGAGTTCACAACATTTATTTATCAACAGAAAACAGTCTAGATGATTGAGATTCATATATTACTTATTAAAACCTTCAGTAGTCTGATAATTATTTAATATTATCCAGTTATATAAGAAGCTTACTACTCTACTATATTATCTTGAATTCATTTAGTTGTATAGTTAACACTAGTAAATCGTTTTTAAATGAATGCTTTAAGTTGTAATCATTTATGACGGTAACCACTTAAACAGCAGCCGAATACTCTATGATTCCCATTAATTGCATAAAATATTTACACTGGCTAAAATAAACATTACAGTCAAGTGGATGTGTAGAAATTTCGTCTATGACGTGACTAATATTAAAAAATATTTTTTATCTAAATTAAAAGCGAAATTTCCGTTGTCATTTATTTTTCTATTGAGAATCAATCATCTACGAATCTGTTTCAAACATAGATCAGTCATTTAAAATATTTGTTCATGTTGTTAACTATTTGAACACGTTCATTTAAACAAATACCGTATAAGTTAATGTACATAAAGAAGTGGATGTTGACTTGTTGTTCAATATCCATTGCATTATCTTGTTTATAAGTGCATTTTAATTAATAATACTATGATACATTAATGATTATCATTAAACTCTGTTTAATCGTAAATCGAAAAGCTTATTTTAAACAGAAAACACTTTGTTAAACGGTCTAAATTTATAGCCAAATACGATTCTATCACATAAATGAGTGAGTGTCAAGTACTATCTGTATTTTACGTCAATTTTTGTTTGATTACTAATAAATTTGTGAAAATTCACTAACATGATTTACCTAAAGAGTTGGGTTAATCCTGTTATAAATTTTTAGGATGTATGTAGAAACAGTCTTTTTAGAAGTTTTAATGAAATGAGAAAATTTTATTTTATCGGAAAAGTTAGAATCTAACGATGATGAGACCAGTTTTTCAAATGACTAATTTTCATTTAGTATTTCATTTTAAATAATCAAAATTTCTGATATGATCTCAAATTTTATCAATTATTACGTAACTCATTAATGAGCAAGGAAATATGGGTCCTTCGAGTGAAACATCTAGAGATCAATAGATATTATAATAGAGTAATCACGATGTTTCAGTGTTTAACTCAGCTTTCAGATGCAATGTACAATAGTGAAAACCAATGACTGTCTTAACAGATCTTTCTGAATCTATTCTAACTATTACATAGAAGATATGGTTCATCGCAACATATAACTTAGAAAACTAGTGTTCATCAGATAAGATTGATAAGACAGTCACTCTCAATCACCACGGAA